ATGACATCAAATTTTGCACACACACTCTCTACATCTCAATAATCAATCTTTTAAAAAAAATTCAATTTGAACCCTAGATATGGTCAAAATGAGTCCCCTCCAAAAATGAATCTAGACCATTCTTTTTGTGAATTTCAAGGTCTTAGCCTTTATAAACTCAAAATCAGTTTTTCTTTTTTAACATTGTTCATCTAATGATAATAAATTCATCCAAAAAAATTGGAAATGAAAAAATCCTTCTAAGGCCTAGATCTAAGCATCTCACCAAAATGAACGGCCTATGTTAATTGGGCTAAAAAAATACTTTCTAGGTTGTGTTTTCAATTTTTTCTTTTTTTGTGATTGTTCATTAGAATAAAAAGAGTGTATAATTCAAAATTTGGATCAAACAAAGGGTTATAAGATGGTTTTTTAAGGTTGTTGCATCATATTACTATACAAACGGTTGCATAAAATCATTGATCTTTTTTATGGGTATTTTGAACTTAAACCAAAGATAAAATGTTGAATAGAATGTTTATAGTTATGTTGACAAATTTTCTTTGAACTTATAACTTTTTTATAAATCAAACTAAGCCCAATTTTTCATAGTTTATCCTTCTCAAAATAGCATAGCTTTTTAAAAATACAAAACAAGTAATTTAATAAAGAAAAAAGTTTATATACGGTACTTATCAAGACCCCCGCTTCGTGCCTTCCCCACCAAACCCACATACGGTCAGGCCCGGGCCCGTCGGAGGACCGTACGGAGTGGGGCCACGACCACAAGTTGCGAGTGCCACTTTGGTTGGAGTGCGCTTAACAACTTGAAAAGAGAAGGAATTTCCAATATCAAGAGAGCCACAAAAGCAACGAAAAAGAAAACAAAATATACATAACCATAGTATGTTTGACAAACAAGTCCCAAAACACATCTAAACAATCAAATTAGAGCCCACATCAAAAATTTCACTAGAAGAGGTTCTTTTCATGCCCAAATATCCTGAAATTGATCATCTCAACATCAAGATAAATGGACATGAGAAAAAAATGGAATTCAAGTTTTGAAAATAATGCATCTTGTAACATATTTTTGGGCTGTCAATTTTCAAGATTTTCAAAGTTTTATAGATCTGCTCGATCTACACTATTTTTGAAGCTTTAAATTTTATAATTAAAAATGAAAATATATTTCAAGGCTATCACAAAGATTTTCAATATTGAAACTACATTTCTCGGCGCTCTTTACCGTACCCTCTAATAAAAGAAATTATCAAAATACTATTGAAAGTTTGAGGGCATAAGGTTATTTTATTTTTTACATGTATGTCCTAATTAGTTAGTAAAATCTTATAGTTATCTTTTTCTCTATTAAAAATTAAAATTTTAATAATGTACACATTCTCGACCATCTGATGAACAACTAAGAAACAGAAGTTAAGATCTTTTATAGGTGGCACATATTTTTCCCTAAAGTATAAAGTATGAACTAAATGCTCTCCACACTGGTTTCAAATATATGTGAATTGGTTTGTGAAGTCTGATGATGATGATGGTCTGTGACATCGAAGGCTCGTTTAGATATCTAAATCTCGTACTTCACTTGATATGGCTAGTGTCACAGGGGCTTTTTCATCACGTAGTCATACTTCACTTGAGATGGCTAGTGTCGCGGGGGCTCTTTCATCACTTAGCCCGTGCAGCCCTAGCTCCCAAACGA